TTGGATGGGAGGTTTACAACCTCTATAGACCCATATTGACATGATCTTGCTTATAGTCTAGTAGCTCCACTTTGACCTAAAAGTTGAATCGACCCACCTTCCAGACAGGGAATGAAGGATTCTACAGAACGGAGATTATGAGTTAACAGGGAGCTCGACCATAAGGAAGACTGAGGACAGGAATCTGGAGAGCCACTCATCCAAAGATGAGGTGGTGGACCGAGTGTCGGGTGCACAGGTAGTGTGCCTATGTGGTGTTGATGACTAGCTAGAAGGACTATAATCGGGCGGCTACAAATCAGGTTCACTTTTCTGAATCCAGAGTTGCAGCCGCCCCGACACCAATTTTCCTTTTTCCCTTCCCTCCCGCCCGGGTAAATTGGATGGAAGTAGGTCTGTCTGTGATACATGCAGCAGGCCTCTCTGGTATAACCAGTACCAGGGCCATTGCCTTTGCCTGGATCCTAGTCTGGAGGGGAGGTTTACAACCTCTATAGACCCATATTGACATGATCTTGCTATAGTCTAGTAGCTCCACTTGACCTAAAAGTGGAATCTTACGGTCTCACTGGCTCACTGGATCATTCATCATTCTCGATTCCATTATTCCATTATGTGATCCGGGTACGGTGGATCCTCCATCTCTCACATCATCTACCGTATCTCGCCCAGTGTTCGAGTGGACCATGAAAACATAATATCAAGACCTCCCCACAATCACTGTCGAAGGAACTGCAAGAAGGGAGCAAGCGCAATGGTCTTGCACACAGCGCACGACAATGGCAATGGCAATGGCAATGAGGAAGTGTTTCTGATGGACTGGATCCGAAAGGTCGCTTTGGAAAAGGGAGAGAGAGATTTTGCAACTTGGTACGATGGTAAAGGAAAACAAGTCAACGCCGTGACTTTTGGGGGTCTCTGGGAGGAAGCGGGAGTTATCGCTGCTTATCTTCGTAATGAGTGGCAAATGGAAAAGGGAGACCGCGTTGTGCTCTGCTACACCCCTGGGATCCAGTTCTTTGCAGCCCTATTGGGGTGCTTTCGTGCAGGAGTCATCGCTGTCCTCGTCTACCCTCCAGATCCAAGCAGCGCCGAAAAGTTGGCATCCTCTCTCAAGAAGATGGTCAAGTCCATTGACGATTGTCACCCCAAGTTGGTCCTTTGTGATGCATCGGTACACTTGATGCGTACCGGAGACAACCTCAACGTCTTGTTCTCCAGGAGCCGTAAGCTTTGGCCAGCCGTACCGTTTCATGTGACTGAGAACCTGCGGGGAAAGGGCGGCGACAAGCACTGTTTTGATGAACCTTCACTGACACCAAATGATATTGCATTCTTTCAGTACACTTCGTAAGTCAACAACTTAAGTTGGGTCGGCAAGAGTGCGGACAGTCTGACAAGCTAACAACATCAGGATTTGCTTCTTGATTGCTGCAGGGGTAGCACAGGAGATCCAAAGGGAGTGATAATCAAATACGGCGCACTAGCAGCCAACATTAGACTCATACACAATGGATTTCGCCAGTGCTACAGAGAAGATGGAGGAGTCCCTGAAGAAATTGTAGGATTCTCATGGTTGCCTCAATATCGTAAGTTGAATGCGGGCATCTGGGTGACAACTAACTGCAAGCCTGATCTACCAACACAAGCTGACTCGAGCTGAACTCCTTCTTTCTTGTTTCCCTGTCCACACAGACGACCTCGGACTCGTCTATGCGGGCATTGCACCGTTCATGGCCGGCATGCGGATGCATATGATGTCTCCCTTGACCTTTCTGAGTAATCCTCTGCTCTGGGTCCAACTTATGTCCCAACTCAAGGTGTCCTGGGGAGTGGCACCGGACTTTGCCTACAATTTGGTAACAAGGAGATTCAACCAAGCGCTCAAAGCGTCGGGGGGAAAGAATCCGCTACCAGGGCTGGACTTGTCCTGCATCCACAACCTCCAGAGTGGAACAGAGCCCGTGCGACCGCATACCAAGATCAACTTTGAAAACGCCTTCTCGCCATACGGGCTCCGAAAGGATTGGTTTCATGCTGGCTATGGCCTCGCTGAAAACGTGGTTGGAGTTTCTTGGATTCATGGATACCATTTGTCGACGCCTCGTCCTGACGAGGATATGGGACCACTTGTAGCTGTTGGCAGCAGGCACACGTTCGACAAGTCCCTAGACGTCAGGATTGTGATCCCGGAAACCATGGAAGAAGCGGAAGACAACACCACAGGCGAACTTTGGATTGCGGGGCCGAGCGTTGCTGGTGGATATCATGGCAAGCCAGAGCTCTCAAAAGGGGTCTTTGAGGCGAAACTGTCGGGGTCTCACAGGGAAGCTCCCATTGATCCTTCCAAACGATATCTCTCCACCGGCGACCTCGCATTCATTCAAAACGACAATCTTTATATCTGTGGGCGTATCAAGGATCTTCTGATCGTAAACGGCCGCAACTATTACCCAAGTGATATCGAGCTGGCAGCGCAGGAAGCGTCAGAAGCCATTCGTCCTGGCTGTGTTGCCGCGTTCTCGGATGACGAAATCAACACCGATGCGAGCTCTTTGACGATAGTCTTTGAAATCAGGGCTTCAAGCTCCAAGAGAGATGCTGCAAGCGTCATAGAAGGAATACGCCAAAGCGTCATCAATCAAATTGGACTTATGCCCTACCGCATCGTTGCCATCAAGGAGAGGACCATCCTCAAAACAACAAGGTAAGATAGTGACAGCGACTCGGTTGATGCCTTCACTCCACGCGACCTCGACGCTCACAATTTCGTTTTCCTGTATTACGACAATTCCCTCACTTGCCGATGCCTTCATCCTTCCTGCCCCCCAATGGCCCAATGTTGGCAATAGTGGCAAGATTCGGAGAAGGGCCACCCTCAGCGCACTCAAGGAAGGATCCCTATCCATAGTGCTCGATGAACAACGCATGACGACAACAAGGGATCCGACAGCTGTCTCTTCCAAGTTGGGAGCGTCAAGAGACGAACGTAACGAAGTTGCTCCCTGCGGCGAAAAGTATGAAAGCATAGTGTCACAAATCATCGGGACAAAGTACAGTCCAGACGACTCTTGGGGGGACAATGGTCTATCATCGATGCAGCAGGTGGAGCTGGTGAACGAACTCTCCGAAGCATTTCCTGTTGAGATCCCCTCCGATTTCCAGACTGTGTTCGGTACGCCTCTCGAGCTGAAAGAGCATATCCTGGGCCCACAAGCTGGTGCATTTTTCCCCACCAAGATAGATGAACTTGCAATTGACCGTCCCATATCCAAGAACGCGGCAACTGCAGTCCAAATGTTTGGCGTGTGGCTGCTGCTGTCTTTGCTCTCCGTGAGCACAATTCCAGTCTACTATTTGGTTGTTTTTGTAACTGAACAAAGCAACGGAGCTCCCTGGAGAGAAGTTTTGTTTCCGTTCGGGGGGTTGCTGCTCCCACCAATCATTGTGCTTTGGCATTTCAGCTTCTCTGTTGTGGTTCTCTTGGCCAAATGGTTGGTGATTGGAAAGTACTCCGAACGTAAAGCCTTCCTGCCGTCAATATACTATCTTCGGTGGTGGCTACTCGATAGACTGTTGGATCTGTGGGAGTTTTTCTCGGGAAGGTTCATCAAAGACACTCCGTTGATTTGGGTTTTCTACCGTCTGATGGGGGTCAAGATGCCCTACAACGTACGGATTGATGCTTTCCTCCGCGAATTCGATCTAATCCAGGTGAGTGAAGAAGTCAAATTGTATGTCACGCCCATCACAGCGCCACTAGGTGCCTCTCTCATCCCTATATTGTTTTCCGTTACCCAGATCGATGCGCATTCATCAGTTTTGTTCGGTATGCGCTGTCGCAAGTTCGGATCCTGGGAGGCAATACGAGAGCACACCTCGGCGCCCAGCCTTCGATTTCGTCCCATTCACATTGAGGCAAACTGCACTATCCGTGGACATGTCGGATTGGGCTCTTCCGTTGGACAGGGATCCTGGGTCGAGAAACTCGCTTCTGTGCCCGAAGGCTCTTTAGTTCCCTCCGGAGCTGTGGCTGTTGGCAGTCCTGCCCACCAATCCTTCCAAGAGATGCGAGAATCTACGCTTCCGGGTGCATTTGTCTTTCTCGAGATGGGTAAAGTGGCGTGGATTTTGGTTCAAGTATGCTTGGCTTCACTTTTCACGACCGCTGGGGAGTCTGTCTTCACCTATGTATTCGAGGATACAACCAAAGGTTGGCGGTATTCTTCCCTGTTCGAGATAATGATCGTGTTTGCCTGCTCCACTATGCTTGGTCTCCTTACGTGTATCCCGATGAAATGGATTCTGATTGGACGTCGGCGACCTGGGCAGTCTGACGGTTGTGTTGATGGACTGTTGCGATGGATTGTTGACTACCAGTTCAATCTGTATCGAACGTTTTTCGATTTGGTTGCCTTGAACAGTGTGGCAGTGAATCTTTATCTGAAGGCAATGGGCATGGATATCGACATGAAGAGCAAGGTGTGGCCTTCTCTCGTCCCACCTTCCAAGGTGGATCTCGTGACAATCCATCAGTCCTTTGTGTCGGCGGCCGTCTTCGACGTATCAAATCCCCAATCAGGCACGGATTCGCCTCAGCCCATTGTGCTGGAGAGCAGCAGTATCAGCCATTCGGTTGTGTTGGCAGGTGGCGTCACTGTTCGTCACTCTGAGGTTATCCCTTTTTCTCACGTGACCAACCACATTATTGGAGACTCTCAAAAGTGGAGGTCTGAACAGCACGGCCTTCCTTCCGTGTTGTACAGAGCTTCAATGGATTTGATGGCAATAGTCCTGGTGATTTTCTTGACGGCCAGCTTCATTCCTACTTTGGAGTTCTTTAATGCCACGGCAGCTCTGGATGGCAGGTTTCAGTTTCCAGTGGTTCGGATCATCCTGTCGCTGTGCGTGCATAGCTCCACTTGGTACTTCCTTTTTGTTGCGCTGCATCGCATCCTTTTCCTGAACAAGAAGGTTCCGTTGAGTCTTCCTCTGTACTTCGCTTACATGCAACTCATGGAGTTCTTTTTCGAGCTCTCCTTGTTGTCATTGTTCTTCGGAACGCCGGCTATGAAGCCCATCTTTCAAGGTTTGGGTTGTCACATGAAGAATAGAGATGACGAACTTTGGTATTTTGGCAAACGTGTTTACGACGTTCCTTTGCTGACCTTTCAGGGACCAACCATTGTTGACACTAGTTTATTGAGTGGCCACATTGTGGTGTTGGGAAAAGCCAGCTTTGGTGAATGCAAAGTTCGTGGACTTTTGCACGAAGGGACCGTGTGTTTGGCGCACACAGACATTGAGGGCAAAAGAAGCAAGAATAATGGGGAAGATGCTATTCGAAATGAAGTGGGACCCATGTGTTTCGTTGCTCCAACCGGAGTTGCCCCGCTCTGCCCAACCCAAGATGTCCGGGATACCCAGCATACCCAACCTTTCGAAGAATCCGACGATTTTGTCGATGCATGATGAGATGCCTCCGTGTACTAGTAGAGATGAATGTTGTGGGTGCACTGGGAGGCGATCTGGTGTTTGTACAGGTTGCGGACCGGTATGGTGAGGGACAAACTCCAATTGGGATATGCCATCAGCAGGTGCAAGCTCTCGTAGCAAGGACTCTTCACGACAATGTAACTAACACCTCAGATCACAGGCAATGCTTCTTTCTGTAGAAAACTCGACCCTGTCTCGTCTGTGTCAACCGTCGTAAGCGGTCATGTTTGTCCACTGGTATTATTCGCTCCACTACCTGGAAGAAATCGGTCCCATCGCAGATGAGGACTTGATCAAAGTCGGAGATAGCTTGCAAAGGTGTACATTGCGACCTCTCATTTGCCGCCTAGGCTCTTGGATGTCTTTGCTAGTGATCCAGCCTTTGCCACCATTTCACAGTAATGCCTGCAAGTAGTTGTTTGTTGGTGCCAAGTACCCAACGTTGAAACATAAATGGCATGGGCCCTGTGGAATTCTCTCTGGGAGGCTGCCAGGTCGCCTGCGTTGTAATATGCGGAGCCCAATTTGAAGTATGACTCTGCGGTGTCAACATGTCGAGCTCCCAGAACCGATTCTTGAATGGACAAGGCGCTTTCTATCATTTCTTTTGCTGCTTCGAAATTTCCCATACAGGACTGTAGAGAACCCATTCTGCTCAGGCTTTTGGCATAGTCAACATGGTTTGATCCCAGCGCAGATTCGTAGATTGCAAGAGCGCGTTCATGATGCTCGCAAGCCTTGCTGTAGTAAGACTCGCGATCGCCACCGTCGCAGAGCAACGGATCCTCTACAATCTTCAGCATTAGTGCCAAACCAACGTTACCATGGGATGCTGCCGTCAAGACATGATCTGGTCCCAAAACACCTTTGCGGATAGAGAGGGCCTTCTCATGGGACTTTGTGGCGGCATCATAATTCCCCTGATGACGGAAAACCTCCCCAATATTGTCGTGTGTTTCCGCAGTTTTCTCATGGAATTCACCCAGCTTTTCTTCGAAGACGGACAAGGTTTGCCGGTGTGCATCCAAAGCCTTGTCAAAGTGGCACTTGTGACACAATGCAACTCCAATAAGGCTGTGACAGCTTGCTGTGAGTACGTGATTGAGTCCAAATAAGTCTTGGTAAATTGATAGAGCTCGGTGATGGTCTCTTAGCGCATCATCTTCCTTGCCCAGTAGGACAAGAACCTTCCCCATGTCATTGTGGCATGCAGCCGCAGCCTCGCGAGATCCTCCAACTGAAACTGTAATGGCCAGAGCAATTCGAAACTGACGAAGGGCCTCCTTCAACTCTCCGTGTTCCATCCAAAGATGGCCGATTTGGGTGCAGAACTTGGCGTATGCTGAATCGTTTGTGTCCGTTTGGCTGTCGACGACCTCTGTGATTGCTCCTTTGACCCAAGTACGCAAGAACTCGTTCACACGATGGTTCAACGCAGTGTAACCAGGTGAAACTTGAATTATACCGAGGATTGCCAGTCTATCGCTCTCCACAGAAGCTTTGGCATCCTGGACTCTGGTATTCCCGAGTGCTTCATAAAGCATGGAGATGCCTCTGCTGTCTTGCCCCAGCAAGTCTCGCTTGAGCTTTTCTATCTGAGTAGGCGGCATGGCGACAGAGAGTTGACATTTGCATTGCAACGCCTGATGAAACTCGTACAAACACCAGACGCGGCCAAGGTACAGAGGTTGATCCCATGGAGTCATCATTGCAATGACATGTCCGATAGACGTCACCCGTTCCCCGAACTCTGCAAAGAAGTCCACCTTTCCTAAAACTGGCAAGCCCGTTTTTCTGTTTTCTGCCTGTTCTGCAACTCTGTGCTGATTGACGCATAGGCAACAGAGCCAAATGTATGTGTGGTTTGGGTCTCGGTCCTTTTGCTTACAGAACTGGTCCAACGTGCGGATGATATCACCAACGGAGTAGCTGCCGGAATGCATCAGCGAAAGAATCAATGGTTGAGTCATTGGAAAGGGCATTGTTGACAATCGTTCAGCAGCCAGCGAACTTTACCTCCACGAGTATGAAAGCATGTAATTTGCTCTTCCCACATCATTGCCTCGCAAGCAATGAACGAACGACGCTCCCATCTCGCCATCCGCTGGTGATACTTGGTTTGCCCCCATTTGCCGTATGACGCCCATGCCAACCTTCCTGTCTAGGTCTTCCAGCTCGTTGATTCTCGAATGCTCCGTGAAACCGGCTGCAATCACTTGGGCGAGAAATGTGGTCCGCAAAAAGGAAACACTGACCCCTAGTAAATTCGTGTCTCTTCCACCGCCAGATGAGGCTTGTCTTGCATCCTCCTCTGTTTTGTGGAGATGATTGTTGTTGTAGGTTTGGAGGTGAAGGAGGCTCTCGTGCAGCTTTTGGACTTGTCTCTGTGCATTTGGATCCTGCTGCTCTGCCGGAAGAACATTCAGCACTGCGACTGCGAGTTGGCATGCTTCAACGGCATGATCATATTGCTTGAGTTGATAGAGAGTCCTGGCAATACAGCAATGCCGTTGGGCCACCACGATTGCTGCTTGTTGTCTGTTCTGCTGCTCACAAAGTCTCAAGCTGGCCTTGTATTCCTCCAACGCCTGGTCATAGCCTTGTGTCTCGTAAAAGAGACGATTACCATTTGTGAAATGTACGTCCACCAGATTCACTTGTTCCAAAGCTGCCACTATTTGAGCACGCACTTGTTGGCATTTCAAATGGTCCTGGCCATACTTGTTCTCGTATATCTCGAGAGCAATTTCCTGCTGCATCTGTGCATCTTGACGTCTTTCCAATGCATAAAGATGTTCCGCCAAGGCGAGCCGCTTGTTGGCACAGAATTCCGTGTGGTTATGAGGTCGAATGTCATTACTGTCGAGCGTTTGGATGCAGGCCCTGAACTGTTCCATCGCCTGTTGGCGGTTGCTACAACTGCTGTGACTGGTGGACGCGGCGGCAAGAAGTTTCTCTCCTCGCTCCAAACACTCCTGGACTTTTCTCAAGTGGCTGGAAAACTGCGACTGCCGGACTTCACAAGCCGAACAAATATCAAAGTCGCAGGGTTCGCAGCACCAACTGCTGCCCGTGCCATTGCAAACATCACAGATGAAATAGGGTTTCTCACAGTCTTGACTAGTACTGGATGGAATGACTTGATGATGATGGCTGCTCTGACTGGTGGCGACCAAATCATGTCCCTCCCAGCACAGCAACCCAATGCCAGGGTCCAAAAGACTGGAGCACGAGCTTCTCTCGGAACCCTGCATCTTGATTTAATTAATTGTTCCTTATTCTCCGAGTGCTCTTACACTCCACCTTTGCCGTGACTGCCGATTGTCTTCCTTCTTTCATGGCATGAGATCCGACCTCATGAGGAACGAAAGGAGTTAGTAACTGTAGCGTATGCCAAAGCAAGAGAGGTACTCAGCATGATCAGTTCGCCAAACCTCAATTCTGCTATGGACGCTGTCACACCTTCCCTTGAGAGCAGACCTCATCAAGCATGTCATGTCGGTTGTGGTTCAGGGAACTTTAGAAAGCAGGTAGATGGGATGTTATAAACGGTTCATAAACATAATTATTTACCAAATGTTTACCTCAACTACGCTTCTAAAGGTGTCTAGAGGTGTCTTCCAGCGGCATTTGGGTTCCAGTCGTGCATTGTCTCGAAGATCTACAGTCAACGCTCGCTTATATTTATAATCTTGTATTTATTCGCTCTATAATATTTAAGAATACTCCAGTTCCCACATTTTTAACTCTAACCCTATTTTAGTACTAGAGCACGTACAATTCTACGGGAATAGTTAGGGTTAGGGATAAAATCAATATTTATTCTCGCTGTTATATTTACTGAATTCCTGAATCCCCCCCAGTATATATATCTGAATGTTGACTGTATTCGAGGATCTATTCGAAATCTTTCGAACTGTTGTTTCGATGATTGTGATTGAATCATTCGATTTGAGACCGTCACTCAGAAATACAATGTCATCATGCACCATTTATTTGGCTCTGGATGTGGGGGTGATCGGTTTAGGGTACTGTATGCAGAGCGGCACGGCGCACAGTCGTACTCAGAGTAGCCTTAAATTTAAAAAATAGAGTTCTATTATTATTTCATTTATTTGGCTCTGGAAGAAGAAATACTTTCTCAATTTTATGATTAAAATAAATACCCCAGCTCCTGAAGGAGTGAGGCAAGACCGGCCATGCAGAACGGGAGCAAGGAACTTCAGCTCAGACACAATTGAAAGGGGGGATTAGAGTAGGGAAATTATCTACGGAAGCCAGCCGAGGCCAAGCTTAAGCAAAGAACAGTCGAAATTCAGGACTAGGTTCGGTGGGATCAGCGGCAAGAAAGTGAGGACCAGTACGGGCAATTGGTTTGGCTTTGCGAGATCCACGGAGACATAAATGGGTAGCTTTCACAAGGGCAATTGAGATACGGGTCTGCATGAAAAACATCATTTGAGAGTAGGAAAACTGAGTTTTGGAGGCAGTAGCAGAAGCAAGCCGTTGTAAGAGAATCTTGGCTTAGGGGGCAAGCATGCCATCCACAGAAACAACAAAGGGATGGAAGGAAGCGCGATTGGAGTCGCACGCTGCTTTATATTTGGAAATTTGTCGCGTTCTTGTTGGGTAAAACTTTGACGGGATTTGTTTCGGTAAGAGGCACAGTCCAAATCAGTACACGTAGTCAATAATGCTGTAGTACCACGTTCGAACAAGCCGCGAATGGAAAGATCACCACGTAAGAGCTCGGGGCTGGAGGGGGTTGAGAGGGGGGAGGAAGGGAGGTAAGGTGAAATGGGTGACCGGCAGGGATAGTAGGGGCGGGAACAGATGGAAGGGGGGTTCCGACTGGACGCTAGAGGAACCAAAGCATTCACTCGCAATAGAACCAAGTTTATTCCGGATTTCATTATGGCGACGGATGATTAAGCCGCCACGTTTGCAATCTAGAGCATGTGGAACGCTGAAGGGACCAGTACAAAAGATGATGCTAGCTAGCATGCGGAAGTTTCGATCTTCCGACCTTTGGGTTATGAGCCCAACACGCTTCCTCTGCGCCAGCATGCTGTGTTGCTCTCACAATGATACATCGATGCACCGTTCTCCTCCTCTGCACCCTATCCTCCCCACAGTCCCCTCCAACCTCCATGGTACCCTCCCATACGGTATATCTTACTATCCTTGGAGGTCTATTTCTTTGCGTGGAGGGTCAAAGTCATCATGGAACCCTTATCCACTCTCTCTGGCGGCCAAGGACAAGCAAACACAAACACAAAAACACAAATCATCCAGAGGGAAAACAAGCAAGACTTCCCAAACCAGCATACCATAGCTTCAAGGCCAAGCAACCAAGCAACTGACATCGAGTGCCTGTACGACGGTGCAGATTTGAATCTATTTCACCAAATCCATATCATTTTTACCATGCCAAAATCTAGTCTTACATATGCAAGTCATAGAGAGAGCACTTGGCAGCAACAGTCTTGGCAGCAACAAGAATGATGTGCTGAAAAGCTCACCTGACGTTGTTTGGGGCTGATAATTGCACGATTGATTGGTTGACTTCTTCCCATACCTGTATCTCCTATAATCAATCATTCTATTACAAAAACTGTCGATGTTGATTGGCAGTGGATTGGGTTTCCTCCGTGTAATCATGTGTTTGGCATCTTCTGTGTTTTGGCCTGCTCCTTGGTTTTCATGATTCCCTGCCCACTGAAAAGAGCTTTCTGTGGATACCGTCTACTAGAAGGTTTCCGAGGGGGCTGAAAAGCTATATCCACTCCCGGCAGTGGACGTACAGTAGAGGCAAGACAAGACAAGACTAAACGCCAACTTTGGTCCTTTGAGCCGATTCGAGTAGACTAGCTCGTTTGTCATGATGGGATACATGTACTGTACGGTACGGTAGTACAAGTACTTTATTCGAACAATTTGTGAACTCGGTAGCTGCTCCGACGACGGTCACATCAGCCACAGAGGGTTTGTGGCTGTGGCTGGCACTGTGGATGGACCTGCCTGGTATTGGTTCGAGATTAGGGCATGGGGTGGGGTATTGTGGCTCGGTTGAACAGCACTAGTGTACTCGCTCGGACGGCTCTTGTGCGGTTCATCATCATGATGCCAGCCACCGAGGTTGAAATGTCAAACTAGAAGATAGATAATTTCAAGTCGCCAACTAGACTACACAGTATGATATGACGCAGCAACTATATAACTGCGAGAAAGAATCGAAATCACTCTTGGAAAAGCTGAGCGAATTCCTGGCTTGGCGGCGTGATTTGGAACGAAATCACCTAAAGTCAAGGACAAAGTCCACACAACAACCACAATAAAGTCGTTTCGATAGTACATGAGAGGCCTTCCTGATGAGAGGAACAAAGAATTACAGGGAGACTATGGGAACGGTACGAGGCTGGAGACAACCGTAAACCGCGGATCTTCGGTAACGATGCAAAGACGTGGGAGTTGGTGCTGAGATCGAATTATTCGATGGAAGCATTCGAATTGCAACATCATTCGTCTGAACGTCAGCCGAACTCAAGAATGCCAGCTTGTCATGGAACAAGCGAGGAAGGATTGTTCGCTGGAGGGAAGCAACATCAAGTTGGGTATCTTTCTGCGACACTCCACCAAAGCTCACAAACACTACGACTTGCTTCTACAGATCTACTTGCTTCTCTCTCTTGTTGTGTTTATCTATCTTTTGCACTAAACTCTACCATGATGTCCCTACGATTCTTGATCGTCGCTCTCTTGGCGTCCGCCAGCAGTGCCTTTGTCGTCGTCCAGCCCACAGCGGTTGCTACCCCACAATCCCTGTATTCCACCATCGACCACAACAACGACCACCACAACACGGACGATACAGACGTGTTGGAGGGAGTGGGACCGTTGGCATTGAAAATGGCAGGCGTGTTAACCATCAAGACAGCCAAGGACATGGTGAATTATCCTCCGCAGTTGTTTGACCAATTGACCCGCAACGTCAGTGGCAAGAACGAAACGAATCCGGTCGTCATGCTGGCCAAACTCATGGGCGTCCTCGTCTTCAAGATGGCCCACGACGCCGTCTACTTTCCCATGCTGTGGACGCAACGACTCAACGAATGCCAATCGTTGGAGGAATGTGATGTCGAGTAAATGTGACAGACGTAATGGAGAGACCGCTGATTACTTCCACAAAAAAACGTTGGATCAAATTTTAACCAGCAGCAAGGCAACAAACAATACATAGAAACGACAAGAAAGCGCGCTTGTTCGACCCGACGTAATTCCGACATTGGCGACATCCTTTGGATATTGTGGTTGCATGTATAAATAAATAAATGCATTTTCTACAGGAGAAAGAGAGGGACGAATGCCGGCTATGGAGACGAATATCAATATACATCATCAAGAAAACCAGCTCCGTGGTCCGGCCCCTTTCAATACCGTACATCACACAACAAGAAAGTATGTTACAAACAAAGAACTAGCTTTAGACAATCAGTTTATCATACGCTAGCAGCAAGCCTGAGCAAAGTAGATGGCCCGTCAGCCGCCCATGACGAGGAAACTGGTTGACTTTTTGTTCCGTCCTCATTGGTTAGCCAGTATTGCTTGCATGCATCAGTGGCTTCAGCAACGGGTCTGCTTTGTGGAGCCTCCATGCCCAATAAAAACTCAGTCTAGCTAGGAGCACTGGTTTCAGCCATGAGAGAATCCAACCAGGACAAGGAAGGAATGGCTAGTATTGCAGCTTGTGGCTGGCTAGCTAGGATTCGTAATTGCAATTTGCTATCCGGGTAGGATAGTGGCATTTATCATATCCGGTCTCTGGGTGGCTTGCAACGCAACTAACAAACCTGGAACCTTCAGACAGAAAAACTACTTATTACACCTTCAACGAACGCAAACTTCGCTGCTGACTCGACTTGACTCTGCCTGGTGCGGTACCTACCAGCCAGCGAGGTGGCACTGTTCTGGCTGTCAAGTCATTGCGCTTTCCCTCTCCTTGGAACTTCTGAGAAGCCAGCATAAAAAGGGTACAATACCGCGGCTTGACCGCTGAACCGTGCCTCTTGATCTTTACCGCTAGCTTGTCATTGTCCTTTCGTCCAATCTCCCCCTTCCTCTTTTCCGGTTGTGCAGCCAGTTGGTCTGCTCCCTAGGCTGCGCGGCTCGTGCCCTTGGATTCATCCTCTGGAGTGAGTCGAGTCATTCATTCCCACCAATAGTCCCCTCTACGTCATACGGTAGTATCCTCTTCGAATGCAATACGTGGGAGAGAACCAGGACGGCAAAACTCAATACACCTGTTGCCAGGCAGCAGACAGACAACTAACTAACTGAGAATGTGCCATCTCCTTTCCGGCGACAGTGATGGCAGAACATGTCCATCGTCCCCATCACTAAACAGTTGATGGCTTGCTTCTTCACGAAAAGAAGGCAGGTTTCAATTGCACAAAGAGTGTGCGTAGGTTGCCTCCACCATACGGTAGACACGGAGAGGTGTGCAAGCATCAACTGGTATCCTGAGTTGTGCGTGAGTCTGCTACTTGGAGGAAAACAAAGCTGGCACTGGAAGCATGGTGAGGGCCCCTAATCTCAAGGCCCCGTGACAGGAAACACGGATGCACGGAGGCGAGTTGGGCTCAGGTCTCGTGCCACCCGCTGCGCTCACGGCAGCATGACAGGAGATGCAGAATGATATCAAAATCGAGTGCAGGTTGGACGGCATGCATGGGTTTCATCGGAAAAAGAACGAACCGGCAGGTTTTGTATGTGGGAAGTGGTACAGTAGTAGGTTTGTACAGAGTTCTACACAGACCGACCGTTAAATACAAAACCAGCCGTTATCGTTCCCTTATAAACGAACCTGCTACTTAGGGCCGTCTGTGCCCCATCGGTCTCCGGCCTGCCTAAGTAACTGACCGAGGGCTTAAGAGAGGGCGCAAGCCCGACAGCCCTCGGTCAGTTACTTAGGCAGACCTCCGACCTTGGGTCCCTGCCTCAACCCCTAAGTAAGCCGGTCCGTTTTTAATAATAACATGACAGACTAATATATAAGATTGAGGCGGGACTGTTCTCATGTTGTCGCCTTTCCAACAGTCAATCCAGGAGTCCATCATCCAAACCAGCCAAAAATGAAGAAATCCCCGGCTGATTGCATGTATTCATCCTCCTCTACCACACAACACAAACAAAAGAGCCTCGCAGGAACAGTCAAGTGTCCGGTGGCTCTCCAATAAAAAAGTAAACACCAATCTTTTGTCATCTTGTCTTCGCCTGTGCTTGTGCTTTTGTTTGCTTTTGTGTGTCTGTTTAGAGAGTCACTTTGGCAGGATCATAATCCTGTGAGTATTTGACATTTGGTTCCTTTCGTTCGGCGGTTTCTTCCTTCTTTCCAAAGAGGGTGACGACGGCAGGGTTGTAGTCGTTGCTGTAGTGCTTTTTGGGTGGTGGCGATTTTCCACGAGCTTTCTTTTCTTCCTTGTGACCAAACAACGTTACAACTTCGGGCTTGTAATCTCCACTGTAGTTTTGCTTGGGCGGGAGTGCCTTTTCGCCTTGACCATACGGTGTCACCACGTCGGGATTGTAGTCACCCGAGTACTTGGCGTTGGGGGCTTTGATATACATAATATGTACAGAATAGACAAAGAGAGAGAAAAACAAATGATAGTTGAGTCAAAGATCATTCTGAAGAACAACACCTATAGCTGCAGCCAATCCATTGGGACAAAAGATATGCAAAAAGAAAACAGACTCTGATCCTCACAACACAAATAAACTGAGGCCAACAAAAGCCGATACCCACGGGTATACGACCATCTATGCATATCTCATCTTGCTTACCTGACATTGTTACTATTTGTTTCTTCTTCTTCTACTCAGAATATGTTTGAGGGTGTTGCTCTTTTTATTATGATAATGAATGGGGATCTTGCCGCCAGCTAGCTAGCTAGACTATGTACAGGATGACTTCTTTTACCGCTGACAGGTGTAAAATGTGAGCGTTTTTGACGGTTATTTTTCAGTTTTCGGAAATGGGTACCCGAAAGTGGTCATTTCGCGAATCGTGCTTGTTTGCGGCCAGCAGCAGAACAGAGAAGAATAACAAAGAAAAGATCAATTTTACCACCATGGCAACAGTGTTGGCCAAATGGTCTCTAGCTTAACCAATACATTGAGATAGCTAATGCTTTCAGAGAAGCAGCTCCCCAACACACTCACAGACACTCCCCTTGAAAAGCATTAGCTATCTCCAAGGCTTGTCATGGAGCTCAGCAGAGAATTCCTGGCTGGATTGGTGGTTGATCTCGAGCGCTTGGAAAGATCTAGGAAGGAAGAAGTGGATATGGTTTACATCCTCAAGGAGAAGCTTTGTTCACAGATCCAACTTGGACACCGGCGTGGGCTCCATTGAAAATGAGTTGGAGATCTGTCTGGCCAAAAGGTTTGTTGTTGAAGAGGGAGAAGTTGTGGATGTGGAGTCTGGTGACACTGAAGATAACACTCCTTTCTTTGGTTGGGATGAAGAAGAAGGAGAGGGAGAAGAATAGATAATACATAGTAGTAGCCATTCAATATGGAAGTCTTCTCGTCGCGTCACTCCGTGAAGAAGTAGTCATCGATCAGTCGAACGGAAGCTCCGTAGTAGAAGTCATCGGCCAACTGATCCGTCGATCCGTCGAACGGAAGCATCTGGTGCCATTGTCGAGGCGTCGCTTGTTGTTGCATTAGCCTTAGCCGCTTGTTGTTGTGGTAGTAGCGCTCCCTTCGTTAGCTCCTTCAAAGAGGAAGTGTCATGGTCGCTCCGTGGAAGAAGAAAGAAAGTCCACCGAATCGATCCGTCGGCCGATCTATCGAACGGAACGACCGATCGTCGAACGGCAGCCGCTACCAACCAAACAAGAGGAGCCTGTCATGGTGGTGAGTAGTAGCCTTTGTTAAGAGGAGTAGCCGCTGTAAAGAAGAGGAGTAGCATCATCTTGATAGAGTCAATAGAGTAAAGGTATCGAAATAATGAAAGAAGAAGAGGTGTACGAGTGGCTTGGATCGATCGAACGATCCGAGTGATGTCAGTTGATATTAAGGTTAAGGCTATACATGTCCCTTAAGTCTTTTCGAGGAACGTTCCAAGAGGTTCCGCTTCGCATTCGAATGTCTTACCGGGATCGGGCTTGCGTTTGTCTTGATAGCTTAGATTCAGCCTGTACGAACATGCTAGCTAGCTATCATGCCAGTCACACCCAATCGCATTCAAATGCCGATGATTCCGTGGGAGGAAGTGAGAAAAGATGAGGCTGCTTCCGATCGGTGCCAAACTGATGGCAACATGGCAACTGCTTCCGGAGGCACCCTTGGTACGATTGTGCCAGCTACTTTACGTGTACTGAAAACCAAATAATAGAGAGAAAAGAAGGCGAATGGAGCAGGGGCGATCAACCCATAAGTCTTATCATCCCATAAGTCTTATTGTCACAGTGGTCACTAAGTCTTATTAATTAAATACTTCGTCGAGCCAGAATTTTCGTTCTCATCGCCATTTTTGTTCTTCAGAACGTCATGGAGGCGACAGTGAACTCCTCAACTCCTCAGAACGTTGTCTAAAAGCCGATGGGTAGTACCATATTCAGTGGAAGTGGACAGCGCAGCTACATCAAACTGGCCGCAACGCATCAATAACCTTGAATGCCGTTGATATCAATTCGGTGATGTTTGTTTTGCTTCACAGGGAGTGACTGCACCAGGCAATACCGCACGGTGTGAGTCGAGTCTGATACAATAATGATGGAAGCAACCTCCGACACGACAATCCGCACCCCCGAGAGAATCCCGTCGTTTCCGTTTCATTTTGAAGTGGAATAAAATTTTGATCTTTTGAGTTGGATCATTTTGATTTTGATTTTCAAA